AATGGATCTTTAAAGGCCAACTAGTCCAACAGCCCTATGTTTAGCAGGGACGTCTTCAACTTGATCAGGTTGCTCAGAGCCCCATCCCTCATCTTGCTGGCCATGCTTCTTTTGATGCAGCCCAGGAAACAGTTGGCTTTCTGGGCTGCAAGCGCACATTGCTGGCTCATGTCCAACTTTTCATCCACTAATACACCCAAGTCCTTCTCCGCAGGGCTGCTCTCAATCCCTTCATCCCTCAGCCTTTAGTGACACCAGGGGTTTCCCTGAACCAGGTGCAGGGCCTTGCGCTTGGCTCTGTTGAACCTCATGGGACCACTACACAAGCTCGTCCAGGTCACTCTGGATGGTAGTTGTCCTTGGGAGTGTCAACTGCACCACTCAGCTTGGTGTCATCTACAAACATGCTGAGGGTGCACTTGATCCCACTGTCCATGGTGTTGATGAAGATTTTAAACAGTACTGGTCCAAATATGGAGCCCTGAGGGACACAACTTGTGTGTTGGGTATTTCCAGGGGTGGTCTCCATTCTAAGGTGGACTTTGGCCAGATGATCTCCAGCACCTTCAACTTCTCTTCTTCTTATTCTCCTCTTAGATTTGATCTTGAAACTATCTCAGGACTTCTGATGTCTCCAATGAAGCAGTCTCCTTCTCAGTCAGAACCCAAAGTTGCGCTTGAGAACTTCTAAAAATCTAATGGCCATCTGGAACCAACTGAGGAAGAAAAGCCTTGAGCCCATCCAAACTCTGGAGAAGACCTGGGCAGAGGCTTTCCACCAAAGAAGGCTGGATGAGGTGAGGGGGAGCCTCAGCCAAGAGCTGAAAGCACTGCTGGGGGGAGGGGAGGGATGCCCTACAGCAAGGTGAAGTTCAAGAGGTGGAGCTGCAGCTGGGAGCAAAGGACACATGGGGCGTGGCACAGGTGGAGGGTAGGGAGGGAGGGATCTAGATGATGGACACATTTAGGGTCCCAAGGCTGCACTTAGGAGTCCAGGGGAAACTTAGGGCTCTGGGGGGCACTTAAGGGTCCCAAGGTTGCCCTTAGGGTTCTAGGAGAGCACATGGCAGTCTGCAGGGCACCTAGGGGCTTGTACTGGGTTGGGGCCCAGTCCGTACTGGAAGAGGTTAAAAAGATACATTAAACACCAGGGCATGACCCAGTCTGAATTCGGAGGGGGGAAGGGAATCCAGTCAATAACGGGAGGAGGCCCAGTCTCTACTGGGAGGGGGGAAGGGGAATCAATTTGTGCTGGAAGCATGCCCAGCATGTACTGGGAAGGCATAAAGGGATCCAGTTTGTACTGGGAGCGGGCCCAGTCTGTACTGGAAGGGGATCAGGGGATGCCGTTTATACAGGGCCAGGTTCCAGTTTGTACTGTGAGGGGTTAAAGGGATCCAGCCTGTACTGGGACAGGGCCCAGGCCCTACTGGGAGGGGTTAAAGGGATCCAGTTTGTATTGGGACAGGGCCTTTGCCTAGAGAGTCTCCATCTGCAAAGATGACCTTAGGAATGGTCACTGTATCAGGACAGGTTAAATTGGAATATCTCTTCTGAAGGGTCATGGGATCAGTAGAGGTCTCTTGTGAGGTAGGAAAGGCAAGTGTTTCACTCACCTCTGAAAGTGGACAAGAGTGCAACCCAGGGAACCCTCAGCAAGTTCACCATTGACACAAAACTGGGAGGAGTGCCTGATACACCGGGAAGCTGTGCTGCCATTCAGTGGGACCTGGACAGGCTGGGGAGTTGGGTGGAGAGGAACCTGATGAAGTTCAACAAGGGCAAGTGTGGGGTGCTGCCCCTGGGGAGGTTGAACCCCATGCACCAGTACAAGCTGGGGGCTGATCTGTTGGAAAGCAGCTGTGCTGAGAGGGACCTGGGAGTCCTGGTGGGCGACAAGGTGGCCATGAGCCAACAGTGTGCCCTTGTTGCCAAGAAAGCCAATGGTATTCTGGGGGGCATCAAGAGGAGTGTGGCCAGAAGGGCAAGGGAGGTTCTCCTCCCCCTCTGCTCTGCCCTGCCCTGGGGAGACCCCCCCCTGGAGTACTGTGTCCAGTTCTGGTCTCCCTGGTTCAAGAAATATGAGGAAGTTGAGAGAGAGTCCAGAGGAGGGCAACAAAGATGATGAGGGGAGTGGAGCATCTCTCCTATGAGGAAAGGCTGAGGGAGTTGGGCTTGTTTAACCTGAGGAAGAGAAGACTGAGAGGGGATCTCCTAAATACTTACATATATCTTAAGGGTGGATGTCATGAGGACGGAGCCAGACTCTTCTCAATGGTGCCCAGCGCCAGGACAAGGGGCAATGGGCACAAACTGAAGCAGAATAGGTTCCAGCTGAATGTGAGGAAGAACTTCTTGACTTTGAAGGTGACAGAGCCCTGGCCCAGGCTGCCCAGGGGTGGCTGTGGAGTCTCCTTCTTTGGAGATATTCAGACCTGTCTGGATGGTGTCCTGTGCAACCTGTTCTAGGTGAATCTGCTTGAGCAGGGGGCTTGGGCTGGGTGATCTCCCGAGGTCACTTCCAACCCTTGCCATTCTGTGATTCTCTGATTCTATGATATATCCATCAATCTGGCCAACCTGCGATCAGCCTGAACCAACATACAAACAAAAATATTTTCCATTCTGTGAAGCAAGCGGCCGTATGAAAACTCTGGAAAAGGAGTATTTTTTACTCCAGCACTGCAACACTGCACACAGGTGTGGTGGGTTGGCCCCAGCAGGCACCTGAGCACCCACGCAGCCGCTCGCTCACTCTCTTCCAGTGGGATGGTGGAGAAAATCAGAAGAGCAAAACTGAGAAAACTCATGGCTTGAGGTAAAGATAATTGATTAAGTGAAGCAGAGCTGTGCACACAAGCAAAGCAAAATAAGGAATTTATTCACTGCTTCCCATGAGCAGACAAATGTTTCTCCATCTCCAGGAAAGCGGGGCTTTGGCATGTGTAACAGTTACTTGGAAAGACAGACACTATAATGACAAACAGCTCCCCCCTCCCTGTCCTTTCCCTGAGCTTTAATGACTGAACATGAACCATATGATAGGGAATATCCCTTTGGTCAGTTGGGGTCAACTGTCCCAGATGTGTCCCCTCCCAGCTTCTTGCTCACCTCAAGCCCTACTTGCCAAGGGGGCAGACAGTGGCAAAAAAGGGACAACCTCACTGCTGTGTGAGCACTACTCAGTCATACTCAAATTGCTCAAACTGCTCTGCAATAGTCAAGAAGCTCCTGCCTGCTCCAGCATGGTCTTTCTGTGGCCTGCAGTTTCCTTCAGGGCACACCCACCTGCTGCGACATGGACCTCCGCAGGGTGGACAACCTGCTTCACTGTGATCTTCATCACGGGCTGCAGGGGAATCTCTGCTGCGGCACCTGGAGAACCTTGTCCCCATCCTTCTTCACTGACCCTGGTGTCTGCAGAATTGTTTCTCACAAATCTTCTCTTTCCTCTCTCCCAGCTCTTGTGCAGCATTTTTTACCCCCTTCTTAAATATGGTATCACAGAGGTGCTATCAACATTGTTGATAGGCTCAGCTTTGGCCAGCAGCAGGTCCATCTTGGAGCTGGCTGGAACTGGCTCTCTCTAACACTGCGGCAGCTTCTTGGGTCTTCTCACAGAAGCCACCCCTGCAGCACCCACCCCACCCCCACTACCAAAACCTTGTCATATAAACCCAGTACAGCTGCAGTATAAAGAGCATTCATTTTGAAGTGCCTTATGAAGGCTGAGGACTGGGATCTTATCAATGCCTGTAAACACCTGAGGGGAGGGAGTGAAGAAGAGGGAGCCAGGCTCTTCTCAGTAGTGCCCAGTAACAGAACAAGAGATGGAAAAACCATGACATTCCACTTGTTGAATTTTAGGGAGAATATGGCCTGGACATGGTTGCCCAGAGAGGTTGTGGAGTCTCCATCCATGGAGATACCCAAAGTCCAACTGGAAATGATCCTCAGCAACCAGCTGCAGCTGACCCTTCTTGGGGCAGAGTATTTAGACTAGATGATGAGACTAGAAGGTCCCTTCCAACCCAACTCTTTTGTGATTCTGTGGTTCAGTAATGTCTGGCAGCATTTCTGAGAACTTTTCTGTGTTATCCTCAAAGCAGTTGGAGTCCTGGTATCCATGGAGCAGGGCCTTTTTCTGAGGATGAGCTTGTTCACCTGAGGACTGAGTGAACCAGGGATTACAAATGCCAGCAAATCCTCAACACACAGCAGTGTCCACTACCCCTGCCTCTACTGTCCAGCCCAGGGGTCTGGGTCAGAAGGAACTTCTGAAGGTCTCTAGCACCATGGCCTGCTCTGAGCAGAGATAACTTTACAGTTAGATCAGATTGGTCAGTGCTTTCTCCTGACCCAGAGGCTGATCCACTATCATTGTCTTTATTTCCCCCCTTAAACTCATTAGAAATTCAAGTTTTGAACACCACTGTCCCTTGACCCAGTGCTGGTCCACTCTCATCATGCGTTTTGGTTTCTTTTTTTCTTTCTTTACCCTCATTTGAAATTTCCCTCACTGCTTCTTGTCCTTGTGATCTTGTGTCCTTTTCTTCCCTTCATGATGCTCACCCAGATCATCACACCTGCTCAGACATTAATAATCACAACCTACTCTCCAAGCACAACCTCACTGGGATCCTCTAGGGCCACGCAGGCAGGCCTTTGGAAGAAGAACCCAAGCTTCTGGCAATGCACTGGGGAGATACCATTTTATTATAGACCTCTCATGAGAGAGGCAGCTCTGACCCAGCGTTAAACAAACCTTTAGACAGGCTCCAGGATGCAGAGCAGATTCATTTCTCAGTAGAAGTGAGTTGGACCTAAACATTTCTGTAGGAACAAAATAACCACAGCTTACCAGAAAATGATGATGGTACCAATACGACAGGGATAATAATAATGGCAATGGTAATGATATTGTTGAACATTCTAACGCTGATAATGATAAGAATAAAAAAAGAAAAAAAGTACAGGCTTGGAATGAGATGCCCCGGGAGTCATTTGTGCAGAGAGGAGGGAAATTTATCACTAGTGAGAAACATCTCTGAAACCACCCTCCTGATGGCATCCTTGAGCTCCTGGTTCCTCATGCTGTAGATGAGGGGGTTCACTGCTGGAGGCACCACTGAGTACAGAACAGCCATCAGGAGCTCCAAGGGTGGGGAGGCAAAGGAGGGGGGTTTGAGGCTAGCAGCCATGGCAGTGCTGGTAAACAGGGAGACCACGGCCAGGTGAGGGAGGCACGTGGAAAAGACTTTGTGCCTCCCCTGCTGAGAGGGGATCCTCAGCACAGCCCTGAAGATCTGCACATAGGACAGCACAATGAAAATAAAACACCCGGATGCTAAACAGACACCAACCAGAATAACCCCAACTTCCCTGAGGTAGGCATCTGAGCAGGAGAGCTTGAGGATCTGGGGAACTTCACAGAAGAACTGGTTGATGGCGTTGCCTTGGCAGAGGGGTAGTGAAAATGTATTGGCCGTGTGCAGCAGACCGTGGAGAAATCCACTGCCCCAGGCAGCCACTGCCATATTGGCACAAGGTCTGCTGCCCAGGAAGGTCCCGTAGTGCAGGGGGTTGCAGATGGCCATGTAGCGGTCATAGGCCATGACAGTGAGAAGAGAAAACTCTGCTGTAATCAGGAAGGAAAACAGAAATACTTGGGCAGCACATCCTGCATAGGAAATTGTCCTGGTGTCCCAGAGGGAAGTGGCCATTGATTTGGGGACAGTGGTGGAGATGGAGGCCAGGTCGAGGAGGGAGAGGTTGAGGAGGAAGAAGTACATGGGGGTGTGGAGGCGGTGGTCACAGGCTATGGCGGGGGTGATGAGGCCATTTCCCAGGAGGGCAGCCAGGTAGATGCCCAGGAAGAGCCAGAAGTGCAAGAGCTGCAGCTCCTGTGTGTCTACAAATGCCAGGAGGAGGAACTTGGTGATGGAGCTGCTGTTGGACATTTTCTTCCTTGGGGCAAGGGGACCTGTCCAAGGAAGAAAGTGCACTGAGAAGTGACAACAGAATTCTTTCAGCAAATCTCTGTGCATTATTCAAGGCTCCCCTGCTCTGTCCCTTTTCCTCCCCAAACACATATTACAGCACTCCTTGCTCCTCTCTCTGGCTGGAGCTCTGTGCTGCACAGCCCGAGTGTATTTCTAGGACCGGGGGCCTCTGCCCATGGGCTCCAGAGGAGTCAGCCCTTCTCTGCAGCAGAGGGTATGAGGGGAAGCTGTGAAATCAATCATTTACGTCAGATAGAATGCCCTTGTCATGGAGAAGGTCTGTTCAGCATCTTCCAGCAGGATAAGCCCAGAGAGACTGTTGGCTGTCCTAAAACTGTAGTGACCAGAGAGAGCCAGCTCACTCCCCAGCCCTCAGCACTGTATGGCCCAGAGCCCGACTGGTTAGGGCAGGCTGGGGCACTTTTCTCCCATGGACATATCTAGAGGGCATGACCCCAATGATTCAGTATGTGAGCTGCAGCTGAAACCCTCTTCACCAGAAGGTTTGAGGGCAAGAACAAAGGCAGCACAGGCAGGGGGAAAACACGGAGAAATGCCCCAATGCTTCTGCTGAAGGAGGCAGAACAGGGAGGGAGAGAGACAGGTCCTGGGGGGTTTCAACTCATCAGGGGTTGGAATGCCAAGGGGGTGACACAGCCAGAGAACCCATGGCATCGGGGCAGAAGCTATGCTGGGTAGGAGAGGAGACAAGGGAAGGTGCCTGTACTGGAGGGGGTGGCAGGGAGGTGCCCAAATCACCCTTCCCACAGCATTTCTGGAAAAGGCTCCCTGTCCCTCCCTGCCCATGTCTCTGCTGCCTGGAGCTGTCCCTGACAGGAGCTGTTTCTCTGTCCCCACATCTCCTCCCTGTGTCAGTGCTCACAGACCCCATCCCACTCACTGTGCTCTCAGCTCTCCCTGCAGATGCCTCCTGGCAGCACAGCGCTGCCTAAGGATGGCTTGGTGTTTGGAGGTCCTAAAGAACAGCTTGGCTAAACCCCGAGGATGATGTTGGTGCTGATCTGTAGGCTGAAGAGGGTGAAAGGCTTTTATGAGTTCCTCGCTGACCTCTTGATCTCTCAGTGCAATGCTCTAGGAGTTTCAGTCTCTTGTACCAACCTGACAACTCCATGGTAATCTGGGGAGTAAGTGGGAAACTGAAACCACAGCCTCCAGAAGGTGCCTTTGCTTCAGGTAGTCCCTGCTTTGATCTTCCCCTTGAAACATCCCCCAGAAATGTCCGGGGGGTGATGTGGAGCTGTGAGCAACACAAACCCACGCAGCACCCTCTCAACAGTGGAAGGACCCTGCCCTGCTGGGGGTCACTCCTTCCATTCACAGCTTCTCCCTACAGAGCTGTGGGGAGCTCCCTGGGCAGGATGCAGAGACCCTGCTCCGAGCACATAGCCCCCCGGGGTGCAGGGACCCTGCTCTGAAGAGCAGCCCTGGGCACCCAGGCTCCACAGCCATGCAGCCAAGCCCGGGAGAAGGAGCTGTGATGCCCTGTGCCTCTGTGGGTGCAGCAGGGAAGGCCTGCTCACCTTTCTCCACACTAAGGAAACCCTGAGCACCATCCTGTCAGACCCCATCTGCCCTGGGATGGGCCAGCTCTAGGAGACCCCTCCAGGAAACTCATGTACATTGCCCTGCAGCCACAGACTTACCGTGTTAAGGACTGTGAAGATCTTTCCTACAGTGAGCACTCAGCATCCTCCCACTCCTCACTGCCTGCAACATCTCTCTTCCCTCTCTCCTCTCCCCTCAGTGCCCGCCATCAGTGCCCTCAGCCCTGCTGCGCTTTCCAGAGGATCTGCTGCTGGGCAGCTCTTTCTCTGTCCCCTTCTGGGCTCCCTCAAGGTGTCCCTGGGGCTCCAGGGCTGACAGAGCCTGAAAGGCGGCAGGATCATCCCTGGGGAATGTACGCTGGAGTCATCAAAAGCAATCACTAATGGTCCCTCTCTAAACATTGAGAGGGACTGATCCCTGCAGCAGAAGTTGTCCTACCAGAGTGTAGTTGCCTGTGAGAGGTCTAAATCACAGAATCACAGAATGACAGGGGTCGGAAGGGACCTTGGGAGATCATCTAGTCCAACTCTTCTTCTAAAGCAGGTTCACTTAGAGCAGGTTGCACAGGACATTATGCAGGAGGGATTTGAATATCTCCAAAGAAGAGGACTCCAGAACCTGCCTGGGCAGCCTGTTCCAGTGCTCTGCCACCCTCAAAGTTCTTCCTCATATTCCCCTCTGGATACCACCCCTCCTGTCCCATAACAGAAAGGGTCAGGGAGGGGTTGGCTTCCCCTGTGCTGGGCAGTGGTTCAGCTGAGGCAACACAGACAACTCATTCCTAGCTAGAAAGAGCAGGATTCAGCTCCCTGCCATGCAGCCCCCACAAGCTGGGATTCCTCTTGCTTCAGTTCAGGGGTGCCCCAAAGTGTTGCCTGCAGATGAGCCCCTGCTCTGAGCCCCTGGTCTTTTTTCTGTGCGCACTCGCTCACCCACAGATGCTTGGTGATGACTCAGGGGCCAGGATGCTCCAACCCATGTGCAAGTGTTCGCAAGCTCTGATGGAAAACTCTCTGAGAATATTCACATCCTTCCTGAGCATCAGCTGAGGTCTAGAGGGGGAAGGGGGATTTCCTTGGCCATCCTAAATGGCACCTGACCTCTACGTTTAGGGCACCTGAATGCACCTTCTCAAATACCTCTTTACAATGAGGGTAGTGAAACACTGGAAGGGGCTGTCCAGAGTGGTGGTGGGGGCCCCATCTCTGGAAACATTCAAGACCAGGTTGGACGGGACTCTGAGCAACCTGATCTGGTTAGCGGAGTCCCTGCTCACTGCAGGGGGGTTGGATGACCTCTAGGGGTCCCTTCCAACCCAAAACATTCTATGATTCTATGATTCTATGAAACAGATGTCTGGACCTGAAAGAACTCTTGAGCTGACCAAACCAAGGACTGCACCAGAAGGAGACCTGTCTCTGTCTCTAGCCACTGCATTTACTGGAGCACCAGTCACTGCAAAGCCACCCCGTCTCTAATACAGCCTCATCTACTGACTTCCTCCTGCAGCTCCTCCACCCACTGCCTGAGGGACTCCACCAAAATATCTCAACATAGGCACATCCCTACACTGAAGACATCTTTTTCATTTCAGGGGTCTCATTTGAATTGCATTTTTTAAAAAGCTTTCAGAGTCATGCCAGTGTCACGCCAGGCCCCGTCAGTTCCAAATACAATGCCACTGAATGGGAAAACGCAGCACAGGGCCTCCAGAAGAGCCATGTCCCTTGGATCTGGTGTGGGGCAGACACCCCAGGGCCTCCTAAAGGGGTCTGGTGCCTGTGTGCCATCGCCTGAACACCAACATCATGGCATAGGTGCAAAGTCTGTCCCTTGGTGGTGCCAGAGGACTGGGGTCCCAACTCTGTACCTGGGTTCTGGTTTCAGCTGGGATTATGAGAATGATGTTGATAACACACTGATGGTTTTGTTGTTGCTAAGTCGTGCTTAGATGAACCACTAGGACTTTTCAGCTTCCCCTGCTCGGCCAGAGGCACAGAAGCTGGGAGGGGCCACAGCCAGGACAGCTGACTCCAACTGGCCAAAGGGCTATTCCAGCCCATATGATGTCATGCTGAGGATATAAACGGGGGTGTTGGCCGGGGATTGCTGCTCAGGGACTGGTTGGGCATCAGTCAGTAGGTGGTGAGCAATTGCACAGTGCATCACTTTTTAGGACCTTTGCTGTCCTATTAAACTCTCCTTATTTCAACCCACGATTATTTTTTTTTCCCCAATTTTTTCCTCCATCCCATTGTGGGGTAGGGGCAAGGAGAGTGAGCAAGTGGCTGTGTGGTGCTTAGTTCCTGACTGGGGTTAAACCAGGACACCACCCTTGACCGTTCTCTTCTCACCCACCTGATGATATGGAGAGTGAAGATGATGATAATGTCCACAGTGGGGATGGACCAAAGGCTGTCCATCCCCAAAGACTTTCTATGCAGCACCCTGCCCTCCCTGGAATTTGTCTTGCAAGCCCCACAGCCCTGCAGAGTTTCTGCAGATTCACCAAACACCTCTCTGGACAAGGTGTCATTGCCCAGACGTGTTTCTCTGGCCTTGGAGAGTGCAGGGCAGTCTGTGGGCACTTCATTTCCTTGTTACATGAACAACTGCCAAGCACTCCAGCACGTGAAGCAGGGTGGGTCTCTGTTACCGTGTTTCCCTGTAACGACATTGCGCTCAGCCCTGGAGATGCTGCAGCCCAAGTGTGCACAGGCAGGAGGAGCTGGAGCACTGGCACATTTTGGGATGAAATGAGATGTAGTGGGACAGCTTGCTCGCTTGGGGTGCTGCAATGGAGGGATAGAAGCTCTGCAGAAGAGAGTGGCAGGGAAAGTGAGGATGGGGGCTGCCCCTAGTGTGAATGGACAGCTCAGGTGTCTGGAGCTCTTCCAGGATGGTTAGCTTCTGTCACTGAGGATTCGAGGAGCCCGTAAGGGTGATATCACGCTTGCAGTTACGAATCTGTCTGTGAGGGTGAGGAAGCAGGAAAAGTCTTCTGTCAGCAACCCAAGGAAGTCTGCACCCAGTTCCTGGGGGGGACCAATTGCCCCGGCATTCACAACTCAGGCAAAACAAGGTGAAAACAGTCTGGAGGATCTTGGGACAACTTGTTAATACAGCTGGCCAGTGGGCCAACAAGGGCCCTGGATGCTTGCCTGGATCCGGTACTGGCACACAAGGAAGAGCTGGTCAGGGATGTGACCATCGGGGTAAACAATTCCTCACACAGACACGTACACACCCACAATGGAAAAGAGAATAAAAGCTCGAGAGCAGAACTGATTTCAGGGCAATGCTGTCTGAGAGGTGTTGCCATTAAATGGTAACAGTTAGAAAGGAGAGAGAAAAGAGTGTTCTAAAAACTTCATGCCAGAATATAATCCTGA